GTTCACAATGACCAATAGAAACAAATTGAAGGGTCAACGACTCGAATTACTGAGGTCAAATTCGGGGTTGCGCCAGGGGGAAAAAAGCACAATTCGTCGGGGAGAAAAAAATTATATGTATTTTATACATATTTAGTAGACTCTAACATCGATTAAATAAGAATTTTAAATCCTTAAATTGTCAAAATTTTCGGGGCTTCTCCTCCTGAACCACTTTTAAAACCTTTTAATCGAAGCTCGACCACGCCCTCTTTGCTCTTGGCTTCTGTTAAACCTCATCACCTCATCGGTGAGAATGCCTGTGTACTCTAATTTTTAAAGTTTTGAGTTATTAAATAGTATAATAAAATTATTATACCTGGATAGATGAATTATATTTGGCCTACTCAGTGCAGAATATACATTTTATTAAATAATAATTTTCCATTTTACATTACCTGATAAAATAGATGCTATTGCTGCAATCATAAATGAGATGATAACTCCAGGTCCAGCCATTTCTCTCGCCACTAAACCAGACACAACATACATCCCAGTACCCATGCAACTCCCGACACCCAAAGAAACCAAATCCAGAGTCGACAGGCATCTGGAAAGTTTGCCTGGGACGTCTTGGTTTTCGTTCTGTCCTGAAACATCGACTGTCTTTACTCTTAGCAATCGCCCGATAAAAGACTGTAATACCGACCTGTATCCCATCGTTATTGTATCTGCATTAAGAAATCTGTTTAGTAGTACATTAATAGTAATAGTACTGTAGTAGTAGTATTAGTAGCAGTAGCAGTAATACCATCTGTTCTATTTTCTCTATGGTAACACTATTCACTAGAATATTTAATCACGTACTACATTGCGATCGTTTCTATTCTACCTTATGTATTTTAATATATAATGCGCAAAACAAATAATGAAACGATATTATTAGTTAATAGTGTGTATATGCTTACCCAGTGTTGGAGTTGTTGCTAATATACGTGATTTTCAACCTCAGTTCTCCGCATCAATATCCACGTCTTAATTCCTCGGTCGTGTACATCTAAGATAACAATTTCAAAGCTGTATAATTCTTAATTTCATCGATACTAATACTAAATGCACTCTACTTCGTGAGACAGCATAACACAACTGACAGTGTAGGTATTATGCAACAAGGTTAAAGGTCAAGAATATTCACTCAGAAATTAATTTAATAGTATATATCTATGCATTCTTTTAGTGAACACATTCAGTAAATTAAGAAACATGTATCGTAGTTAACCACAATTGCATCAGTGTATTTAGCAGAATATCTCCGAGAAGAAAAACATGTGATCTAAATTCCATAATAAGGTAGCTCAATCGGAGAAGTAATTTTGCATGTTTCCGTCGTATAATGAACTTTTGATCAATATTAACGTGTATATATGCACCATAGTGTAAGCACGTAAGTCAAGTATATAAATAAATATATAAATAGGCGTACCACATCCCATCGCAATTTGCCTTTGTCGATTATATCATTCAGAGTAGCTGATCGTCATTGTCCGTGACGTCATAGCTATATAACGGTATCCAGTTATACCATAATTAATCAGATCCAAAGAAAGCCACATTTACTTAATAAATTCAAAAATTCTATAATATTACTTATAATTTGTTTATTATCAATGGTAACGTTAATAAATTTGATGTACGTGGGTGTAGACAGGTGAGTGTACGGTCGGTTGCGTGTTGTGTATTTATACCATAAACCATAAGCTATATCCTATTATTTGCTATATTTTCATTTCATGTACAAGCAAGCAGACATTCGAGACCATACCAGACGAAGTCTACGGCTATATCAAAAGCTATGGCTTTATCATAAGCTCAATAATAGTTATGATGATGATGATGATGATGATGATGATGATGATGATGATGATGATGATGATGATGATGATGATGATGATGATGATGATGATGATGATGGTGATAACAATTACACTTTTAATGCGCCAATTTCCAAATAATCAAGATGCTCAGAAAATATTTCGAACAGTACGTAAAAAGATAAATGATTGACTGTAGTTGAAAGCTAGCAAATATAATTCCAGCTTTAATGACTCAAGAGTGGGTGAGATTTTGAAAGATAGGTCGTTCTAAAGAGATGAAGCAGAAAAGGGCAAAGGTTCATTGACTTTTGTTTCAGATTTAGGGGATAGTGAGAAGACGACGGTTGAGGACATGAGGTTGTGAATTTTAGAAAGTTAAGGTGGTTGATGAAGTCCGCACCCTGAAACACGAAATTAAAGAAAAGTCGTTCGTTTAATAAGTATCATTGTTTTAGTACATGAGTGGTATTGAATGTTTTTAATGCTTTTTACATTGTAATTTTCTTTATGTTTTCATGTTTTGATATGTTAATCAAATCAAAATGGAATAAATGAAATTGATTGCGCCTGGCATCAGCATAGAGCATACGCGAGGCAGCAGACGTTTTAATTTGTTGCAATCGTTTGGCATCCCTTCTTATTATCTCGTAGAGCTTTTCTTGATCTTAAGTTTCTTTGTAATGCTGTACGTATGGTACAGCATTTGATAAAGAAACATTTCATGTTTCTTTATCAATGTGCCATCTCGTAGATTAAGAAACCTACATTTATGTTCCTTTCGGGAGGGTAAATGCTAGTTAAAGTGGGTTGTTTTGTAAATTAAGTACCAGTTAACGAAAGGTCCACTGATTAATCTCAGATAAGATAGTATAATACATACTCCAAGTATACAATATTTCGACATTAATTATGTCATCACCGGTAAATTATGTAACTCGTTTTTTGTTCAAGAAAATAGTCTTGATATAGGCCTATGTCTTATTCTTTCAATCATTTTAAGCATGAAGTTTTAAGTTTACTAATTATCTTCTATATCGTATACTATATAGGTCTATTTATGTTTTTATAATTGTTTTGTATATCATGTTTCATGTCAACGCTCCTGCTATTGGCGAATTTTATTCGCTTTTAATTGTGGCTTTTAAAATGAAATAAAAAAATAAAGAAATAAAAAATACTCAGATTTTACTTGAATTGCGCGGATACCTGTTTATATTTTGTTGTTAACAGACTGGCAAATTAAACTGTAGCCTATAATGACATTTAGATTATTCTCAGAATCCGAAGATGATGGTTTAATTTCTAAGTTTCCAAATTCAGCAACTCCCAAGTAATAGAAAATGTGGCTTAGACATGATTCAGCAATAACAATCAATAAATTCAGTTTTGGAGGAATTTGATTTAAGAATGTTTTGCTACAGGTTTAATTTCAAATTTATTTACAGATTTGAATGTAATGTTGAGGGTCCACAAAAGGGCTTAAAAAGAAGATAAAGGTTGATATCGTCGGCGTCATAATGGAAATTGATATGACGAGAACAAATAACCTTTGAGACGGAGGAAACATAACGTAAAAAGAGAACCGAGTGCATAAAACAGCATCCTGGTGGCTACACCTTTGGTATTCTCTTTTGTTGACAACACTGTGCAAACAGTACAAGGTACAACACATCACCCCTACGTCTTTGGCATTCAAAAGGTTCAACAACACTATGCTCGGTTCGAAGGTCTTTATCAACACTGTGCATTTAGCATAACAAAAAAGAAAAAAAAATTTAAAGAAAAGATGACCTTTCATATCGCCATACCTCTGATCCTTAGTTAGAAAGCCAATGAATATGCAAAATTTTTTAAAAATACATATAAATAAATACATAAATATATCAAGTCAAAATAAAAACTGATGAATTGTGTTACTGCAATTAATAAATAACAGTTCATATACCGTAAAATCCTTATTGAATAAGAAAGCAAGATTTTTTTTATTTATTTCTCTACACTTCATAAACATCACTATTAAATCACTATTAACAATACGTTCTACTGTCTTGTTTGCTTAAGTGTCAAGGTAATCAATTTACGTCAATGACCACCAAATATTCTGTTAGCAGAATGGTTAAAATTAATAATAATAACAGCATCCCTGACATACGTAGGCCTACTTGACTTTCCAAGGTCTCCACCGACACTGTGCAAATAACATAGCCACTAGACCAACCACAAGAACACCATCAAAGTAACATTGCAGTACCACTTGAGGATCACATTCGCTAAACGCAAGCTCGGTGGTATAGTGGTTATGACACTAGGTTAGTTTTCTGGAGGGCGTGGATTCGATTCACTCATTACGATAACACGTCAGAAGTAGGGCAAAACATCACTCCTGCTATAATAATTAATGAGCAAAATAAATTCACGACCTGTAAATAGGCCTACATACATGAAACACACATGTGCAATGCTTTTGGGGATGCATTTGCGAGAAATTGATTACGTATCGTTATGGCAGTTTGACGTCGGCTTATAGGTACTACAACAATTCATTACAGATTGACAAGACGAACGCGCATATTAATTATTCTGATGCCTTATTGATTAAACTAGGACACATGGTGAAAGTATTGCCAGTAAACGAAATCCGAAATTTAATGAAAACAATGGATGTATTTTGTAACTCCGCTCAACAAAATTCACAAGAAAGAAAGAAAATCCTATGCAATTTTCAGAAATTATTAGACTGTAACATTTGTTAGGCCTACATTAGCTTCAGAGTGTTTTTCTGCTTTTTACGGTAATTGATACCCAATAACCTGTTTCTTCAATTGAATAACCGTTGATTTTTTTTTGGTGAAAATTCCATGCTCAGTACATATGCCTACTTATTCCTAACGATTTATACATTCATCATTTCATTTTTTATTCGATCAACATTTACAATAATTGACAATAAAATGTATGTAAAAAATCGAATGCTGGACAGAGTTAACTTAAGAATGAAATAGGCAGTGAATGGCGTGTTTTGGTAGCGCACGGTTTTAGGCCTAGTGAAATATACCGTGCCTTTGTAAAACCAGTGATTGCCAGACAATGATGGGCTTTCCTAACATTCTTGTGGTCTTTTCTTCATCGCTATGTATTGTCAGGGTGCAGTCATATTTCTGCTCCTTTGTATTGTTAACGTTCTACTCGGTTGAATGAGTTTCAAAAGAGTTAACCACAGGATAAAAGTTAACAAAAAGTGCAAATTTACTCCCACTCTCAGATCTTAGCACGAACGCTTGGAAATGTCACTATGGCATGAATTACAAATCAGGACTAGGTGCGTACAGTGGCCACAATTGGTCTTGTTTTGCTGACTAAGTAATGGCCTATACTCTCTGGAATTATTGCAGTGGATAAGACAATTGTATTGTTTTACTAAAATATCTGTTACTTCATTTATGGCTTTTAAAGGAATGGCATATTACCAAAAGTTCTTCCGACGCAAGGGATTAAAACCGGTACATGCAACGCAACGATTGAAGCGATGTCTGACTACACTTGATCTGGTTATATTTGGTACCGGGAACATGTTAGGTGCTGGTTTATATATTGTTACTGGAGAGGTTATTCGATCGTACGCTGGGCCTTCGGCTATTTTATCTTTCGTAATAGCGGGAACAATTGCATTTTTTTCGGCACTGTGTTACGCTGAGCTAGCTGCTCTTCTACAGATTTCCGGCTCAGCATATTATTACGTGTACGTGGCATTGGGTGAATTTCCTGCATTTCTAGTCGGTTGGAATCTTATACTTGAATGTTTAATAGGTGCAGCTTGCGCAGCATCTTCATGGAGTGCATATCTTAATGAATTAGTTGATGCTAAAATTGGGAACTATACTGTAGAGTATCTCTTAGACGGTGAGCCTTGGGATTCTAACATCCTGCTTCCATATCCCGACATTGTAGCAGGAATCGTGTCATTACTTGCCTCTATGTTAACTGCCATTGGAGCAAAGGCTACCTTACGTTGTAATGTTGTGTTTGTGATTGTAAATATATTGGTTGTTGTTGGAATCTCCGTTGTTGGTTTTCAAAATGGCATTGTAGATAATTTAACTCAACCTGATGGTTTCTTTGCGTATGGTGTGCTCGGTGTTTTGTCAGGAAGCGGGTTCTGTTTTTATTCATTTAGTGGTTTTGACGCACTGTCTATTGCCGTTGAAGAAACAGAGAATCCTGCTAAAAGTGTGCCAGTCGCCACAATCATTAGCATGTCCGTGACCACTGTAACGGCTGTTATTTCTTGCCTTTCATTGACTGTCCTCCGACCATACTTCAACGTGGATCCTGCGTGGTCTTTTCTTGAAGCGTTCGAGACATTAAATAATAGTTATATATCCTATGCTCTTCTAATATGTGTTTTAACGGGTATATCTGCATTAGTTGTAGCACACCTGTTTACAATGCCACGGATTGCTTTATCGATGGCTCGTCATGGTTTACTGTTTTCATGTTTAGCGACAATTAGCCAGAGGACTGGAACGCCCGTTGTAACTATTGGTTTATTTGGTATCATTCCAGCCGCTCTATCTATTTTTATTCGCTTTGACGTCCTTATTGAGCTGCTTTCTATAGGTATTTTTGTGGCTCACATTGCAGTAGTGTGTTCAGTTATTGTTTTGAGAAATGAAAAACTAGATTTAGCGACGGAACAGTTGGAGGAAACACTTCCATTGAAGCGAACAACTCTTTCATATAGAGGAGGATTAAGAATACGAACAGAATCTGAAACAGAAGCAGATTTGTTGAAGAATAAGGAGGAAGACGATGATGATGTCGATTCAAACCCGGGATATAAGCCAGTTGAGGTAGTAAATAGCTGGACATATATGCTAGACACAACGAGTATAAATACTTGGTTACTGCTATTTATCATATTCAATACTGCAGCCACTGCAATACTTATCAATCTACCATCCAAGGTGAAATATCCTCTCTTATTCTGGAGTATGGTCGCTGTTGGAAGCATCGTTTTCGTGATTGGATTAATATGTTTTCTATCCGTTTCTCGTGCTAAAGGTGAAACAAACAAAAGGAATTTCAAGGTAAAGAAGCTAAAACCCAATTTTGCTTTTGTTAATCTGTTTATACCAGTTTATGAAATTGTTAATACTTACCGGTACTTTATTGTGGCAAAGTCAGCGGCGGTGGTGGTAGTGATGAATAATCGGTTGTGGTGGTAGTCTGTTGCAACGGTGGTGGTGGTGATGATAGCAGTAAATGTGGTTATATTGGTGTTGACAATGGTGAATTGTGGTGGGTTAATGTGTGATGTTGATATTAGGGGTGATAAAGGTGGGAGTAATGGCGGAAGCAGCAAAGATAGCTCTGTTGGCTAAACTGGAGGTACAGCCACTGTGTGCGCGATGAGCCGTGGAAATACACTGTTAATCTTAGGTACCCGGTTCAATTCCATCCGCTGCTCGTTTGTTTTTCAGCTGGAGGGTTGAAATGCAAGTAGTGTATAAAAAAGCGCACCGTCTTTCAGAAGACGTCTTGAAGCCGTTTGTCTCATGTACAATGTGACACAAGGGCACACATGTACAGAATTGTTACTGCCAAATCACCACCAGAAGGATCCGAATCTAAATGAGGTCTCGGACTTTCGTTGAATTATCATTGGTGCTCACACTGAATGAATCCAATCAAATCCCTATACAGGTAGGTTACTATGATGGTGGTGGTGAGCGTGATGATGATTATGTTGGTATTAATGGAGATTAAGTAGATGATAGTAGTAATAAATGTGGTGGTGACGAAGGCGGTAGTAGTGATGATCATCATTTATTTAATACTTATAGGCCAAGTGTACACATTTTGCATACATGTTAATACGAATATTAAACTATAATAATAATAATAATAATAATAATAATAATAATAATAATAATAATAATATTAATAATAATAATAATTATTATTATTATTATTATTATAATAATAGTAATAATAATAATAATAATAATAATAATAATAATAATAATAATAATAATAAGAATAATAAGAATAATAATAATAATAATAATAATAATAATAATAATAATAATAATAATATGTACCGTAGGTTCTTATACTGTAGCGCTCTACACAACCAAGTCTCGGAGCGCTTTTCCACATTATTACCCCAGTCATTGGAACGATGCCTGTGGGGGGAACCCATAGTTTGCTGCATGAAATATTTCTGCGCATTTTGCACTCAAACCTCCTTACATATACTCCTGGGTGGAGAGAAGCAATGCAGATAAAGCACAGCGAGGGATTGAACCCCGACCTCGGTTGGGAAACCAAACCGTTCCCGCTGCGCCAAACCACTTCCACTATAAATAAATAAATATATAAATATGTATATTCTGTCCTTACTCAAGGTTCCTGGCATGCCGTATTTACCTGGAATTGTTATCACTCTCGAGTTGCTACTAATGGTCAACCTCAAAGCATTAGCTTGGCTTCGCCTTTTCGTTTGGAGTATCATTGGTAAGAATTATTTAATTATCGCATTATCTATTAGCACTTTTTAGTTTCTAAATATATTCTACAGTATCAATAATAATACTGGTAGACTTATATGGCCCATATTAATGTTAAGCCCTCTATGCGCATTTGGTACATACATTTGGATTAAACGCCTATGGCACAAACTTAAGCTCCCTGGGGGAGTATTCCATAACGTTGCAGCAGCTATATCTGCGCATTTCGGTATTTAACCCTACCAGTAAAATGCACCGTAGCGAGGGATTGAAATCCCGACCTTAGTGGGAAACCAAACCGTTCCCGCTGAGCCAGACCACTTCCACTATAAATAAATAAATAAATAAATAAATGTCTAACAGGGGCGGATTTAGGGGATAATTGTCTAACAGGGGCGGATTTTTTTTGGGGAAGGGTCCCCGGTCCCCTCCTCCTTTTTTGGGAGGTAAAACAAGGAAGAAAAAGAACAAAATTATAGCCCAAAACACCTCAAATGTTATTTTCGGGCCTGTAGCTGTCTCTTATACACATCTAGATGTGTATAAGAGACAGGTATAAAAAAGCGCACCGTCTTTCAGAAGACGTCTTGAAGCCGTTTGTCTCATGTACAATGTGACACAAGGGCACACATGTACAGAATTGTTACTGCCAAATCACCACCAGAAGGATCCGAATCTAAATGAGGTCTCGGACTTTCGTTGAATTATCATTGGTGCTCACACTGAATGGATTCTCCGGAGACGGCATGCAGTACAGTGTACCTACAAATGCGATGAATGCCACGAAGATTCTCCAGAAACTACAGAACATGTAGTACAGCCTACAAACACGATGAATGCCGAGGATTTCCCGGGGACGACATAACATACAGTACACTGTACATACAAACGCGATGAATGCCACGACGATTCGCGAAGACAACATAATATATAGTACAGTGTCCCATATTATTATATACCTACACACGCGATGAATGCCACGTTGATTCCCCGGGGACGACATACTGTACAGTACAGTGTACCTTCAAACTCGATAATGCAGCGAGGATTCCCCGAGACAAAATTACATAGGCCTATTCAGAGAGTACCTGCAAAGTGATGAATGCAACGAGGATTCCCTGGGGACGACACGCAGTACAGTGTACCTACCTTCAAACGCGATAAATGCCACGAGGATTCCCGGGGACAACATACATACGTCTGTACAGTACAGTGTCCCTACCTACAAACGCAATACACGAGGGTTTCCCGGGGACAACATAAGTCTGGACAGTACAGTGAACCTACAAACGCAATAAATACCACGAGAATTTCCCGGGACGACATACATAGTGTACTTGCAGACGCGATGAATGCCACGAGGATTCCGGGGGAAAAATTAACATACAGTATAGTGATGTAGATATGTAGATATAATTTTAATATTTTTTTGTTACTTTTTACAAATTTTAACTTAATATATTGTAAATATTTTTGATGTTTTTGGTGTTTTGCTGGGACTTCTGACTCATTGAGTCACAGAGGCTATTGCTTCTTTAGAAGTCCCAGGACCTTTGTGTCTAATAAATAAATGAAATGAATGAAATGAAATGAAATAGTGTACCTTAACAAAGGCGATAAGTGCAACGAGGAATTTCCAGACGACTGGTGTATACAGTACAGTACAAACGCGATGAATGCCATGACTCAGTGGCGTATCTGGCAGTATTAAAATGGTGGGGGGGGGGGGCCAAAAAAAAAAAATATGAGGGGGGCGTGGAATTTATTTTCGGTGGCCACGCCCACTGAAAAATATTGCTTCTTATTAGATTCCCGAATACACGTTAACAGTGACAGATATGTTAAAGTATATGTCTTGAACGCAGTATTTAAGAAGTGAGATAATACCATAATAAACAAAACGAAACTTTTATTGTCGATTACGATTTCTTGCCTTAATTAAAATTACCGGATTCTTTTAGCAATAGATAGTTTTATTTTAAATAGGCTTACATCAACAATTCTGCATGCACCAGGAAAATTACTATGCTAGACCTTTCGAGGCATCGAATCATACCAACAGTTTTAGAATAATTTATGTGTGTGTTTTTTATTATGTGTGACAGCGACCATTTTAGTGACCATTTTTATAAATATTGATTATTATTATTATTATTATTATTATTATTATTATTATTATTATTATTATTAGTTGCTGTGAAATGAAGGACGAAAACATAATATGGTGTTTTGATGAACGTCAATAAAGGGAAGTTGAGAAAGCATTAACCCATTTTCTTGAGCATAAATAAGCCTAGCCTAATTTTTTTGCTTCGAAGTTTGCGAATGGGGGAGCGACTGGGGGCGCAAGCTTTTTGTGCCCCCTTGGGTACGCCACTGCTATGACCACGAGGATTCGCTCCCGGGACAACATACAGTACGGCCTAACAAAATTAATTAAACCGATTTAAAGTTAGAAGGTTTGGCAAAGTCCTGATAGCAGGACTGAATAACATACGTACGATTTTTTTGTTAATAATAAATATGGATGAAATCTAGAGACCTAGATGAAGCCCATCTCGAATTGAAGCCCCCGTCTTTGGTTTGCAATTAATAGCATCGAAAAGAAGCCCATCTCGAAATGAAGCCCATGAGCTTCTTTTCAACATAGCATAGGCTTTTTCTCGAGATAGTACAGTGCATAAACTGTACATGAATTTCAAAAAAACAAAATATATTAAAAACAAGCTTGGTTTATACAACAGTAGTTTAGTTAATTAAATGCCAGTTAAATACACTCCATACAGTATGATGTTACAGTGACCTTATTTATTGTTTTATAATACAAATTCACAAAATTTACAGCATCCATTTTGAAAAGAAGCCCCTCTTTACTTTGTAAAAGTAGCCTCGAAAAGAAGTCTATCCAAAGTTCCCTCTGTCCGTGCACCAATCCCCTCTTTCTCTTCACCAATGTCATGTCAATATCTAATAATGGCTTTGAGAAGGCAAGTAGATAATTACTCTAAAACCATGTTGCTAGGCCGACAAAATAAAAACTGTAATAAAGAAGTTGCGGTGTTACCTTACCCCCACATATATATGCTTTCATCAAATAGGCCTACCCTTCCCTACCAGTACCTGTAACCCACCCCAATCCCTTCCCAACTTCAATATATTTATTCCATCTAATCGTATACTGTAATCAATAAAACTTGTCGAAAACAATGTACTCTAACGCAAATCCAGGACCTTTCTTAAAGTAATAGAATCCAGGACCTTGGTATGGGAGCGTGTGGCTGTTTTTGTCCTTACTAATGCATATGATTTTTTTTTATACATTTCTTGTGTTAAATTAATAGAATGCACAGTTAGCTTTCCAGTCAGCTGGGGAATGATCTTTACTCTAGAAGCGGATTCTGGTGGACGACACGAGAGTTGCTGGTACCGGGTTACCGGGTAGCACAGACACAAAGGGACCCTTAGGGGCGAAGAAAGTCATTGATCGAGTTCCTAGTCCACATTTCAAGCGCCCTGAGCATCTTACATTGGATGGATATGTGCGCTATATAAAACTACACTATTCTTATTATTCTTATTCTTATTATTATTATTATTATTATTATTATTATTATTATTATTATTATTATTATTATATATTTAGATTACGGGTCGAAATGTTAGGATGGCGCCCTCATAAAATTATGTAACTCATCAGGTGTCGTAAATATTTTCATAGGCATTACTAAAAGCAATTTAGCCATAGTCCAACCATATTGATTGCAAATTATATATTAGGGTTTTTATTCTGTACTGTAGCAACATTGTTTTAGACTAGGTATAGCCTCTTGTATTCTCAAAACCAGTATTAAGATATTGACATGGCATTGGGGTGGGGGATTAGTGCATGCACAAAGGAGTACAGAGAAAATATATCTGTACCCTAAAGTTTACTTGTCAGTGTAAAAAAAAATAAGGAATACTTACGCTTATTACTCAATTTAAGGAATGAAACGCTCTTGTTCTTGTTGAAAAAAATTCCTTAGTGAGTGTAATGTCAGTTTGTTTTGCCGTATGTAATTTGTTTTTAATGTAATTTTATTGTTTCGGTTGTCTATACTGGAGGTTTTATAAATAAATTGAAATTGAAAATATCTTTTTTCCCCTCTTTTTCTGGCTGTTGTATAAACGAGCAGGGACATGACTGGGGATTAGGGTTGGGCGGAGGGGTAGGGTAGCATTAAGGAGGAAAATGTATTCTTAACTTTGAGGTCTGGCAACCAGGGGTGGCGCCAGCACGGGGGACTGAGAGGGTCAATCACATTTCTTCGGGGAGAGAAAAAAATGTATTTGTATTTTCTACAATTATTATTACGGCACTCTAAAATCGATTAAATAAGCCGAACCCCTAAATTGTCATTGTCGGGTTCTTCGCCCACCGTCGGGTTATCCTGGCGCCCCCTGACCTGCTGGCAACACCACTACCAATGTAAACATATCAGATTTCGTTTCCTGAGGCTACTGTCATAATATTTCAATTTAAAGAAGATTGCCCAATGCATTAGAAGGTAGGAATAGGGAGGAAGGTGGTAATTTGTAGGGGTTTTACATCACCTTTTTTACATCACATTTCTTTTGTGCTTTACATCGATAATAGGTTACTTTGTTGAAAAGTTGTTTCATGTGCTATATATGGCTGATTTTTCTCTACATTGTCATATGAAGTTTTGCCAGTGCATTTAGATAGGAAAGTGGCTGGGTGTAGGCCTGTCAGGAAAAATTTTGTCCGGGCCCAAAATCGGTCCTGCCGGACCGATTTTAGCTTTATAATTACCTGCCAAATATAGTCCACATAAGCCAAAATCGGTCCGGCATTAAGGCCCTATAAAAAAATATTATTAGTTTATCACCCTATCTGGGCAGAAAAGTGATGAGCGAGGGAGGCTTTCTTTTTATTTTTTACTTTGCTAAAGCCAAATATATCACCCTTGGGTTGTTTGCTAGGTGCAATGATATATAGTAAAACATGATTTAGATAATGCAAACAATATCTACTTACTATTTAATAACATACATGAAAAAAATAAATAAATAAAATAAAAATTAAAAAAAAATTTTCAGTACTATAGAAGACATGCGCGCAGGGGTGATAAACTAATTTTTTTTTTTTTTTTTTGGTCTAACGTAACTTGTATTTTTTATAACGTTTATTCATATGTTTTGTAATCAAATGATAGATAAATAGCCTATCTTATCTCTTATTATATAGCCTAATATGTTTTCATTCGTTATATTATGTTTTCATTCGTTATTGTATGTGTGATCACTGGTAAAAATTAAGTAAAGCTTCGCGCCCAGTGAACCCATTTGGTGTAAAAGTACGAAAAGAAGTTAAACGATGTGGTCTTAAATCTTGTTGGTCCGGTGTAATTTATTTTTTACCTTGTTTTGTATTGGTTGCGTGTGCTTAACGCCGGGACGAAGTACATGCATTCAATTCCGAAAATGCTGACCCCTTTATTTCATGTATTAGACATCGATTGCACGACCTAACCCCACACACGGAATATTTAAAACTAATAAATCAGTCTTGTGTTTCATTTTAGGCCTAAACCACGGCTGCCGAAAATGATGCACGCATCGCAGGCCTAGGAAATTCAAAATATCTGGTGGTTTGATAAAATTAACATTCTGTCACTGCAAACGACTTTGCAAGTGTGGGAGAAGCATATTTTCTCCACTCCACGGAAGAAACAATCATAACTTAGGAGCAGCAGACGATCGAGTAACAAATGAAGTAAGTGGCCAGGCCGGACTAATTTCCGGGGGACCTATTTTAGTAGTCCGGCGGACAGATTTTGGCCGCCAAAATCTGTCCGCCGGACATTTTTTGGCCCGGGCCAATTTGATGGAGGGTCTTTACATCACATTCCCAACCCGATATCATGTAAGATTTAGGTTTTTATAATTTACACTCGCAGTAGACCTACTTTATTCTGACAAAATTTGGTTCATGTGCTAGATCTTCTAGGCAAAATGGGGTGAAATCTTATTGCAATAGACCAAAGTCCTAAACAGCTCGTGTCAAAGTTTACGCAACACAACCAAGATTACTGTACTCAATTAACAAAGGGACAGCATACTAGGGGATTTTCCTGCTTGTGACCTCTCAAGCGAAACACAACTCATCTAAGAATACTGTATCTAAAGTACATTCTGTAGCGGTGTAAAATACCGTAGCATACTTCCACACATGACATCGAAAATCAGTGTTCATTTGTGTAAGTTAACTCTTATTCTTTGTGAGTATCTGATAATGATTAATATTGTGAATTATAGTCACAAATTTTAAGGTTTCCACGTTGTACTTTTGTCTGGCACAACCGACAAACGGCAACAACCAGCAGCAGCCGGCTATCGCTTTACTTTTCGTTGAGGGCAGCATTTACTGAGGTGAGCTAGAGTTCCTATATAGAGATAGGAACTCTAAGGTGAGCCATCGTGATGATCTTGAATCATATACTATACACTATACTTATATACTTGTAGACTTATATACTTATACTTAGATACTTATACTTATATACTTGTCTACTTATGTACTTTTAACCGCCAACTTTGTCAAGTGTTACCGACAGTTTATTGGTTAATTAATTCACTGTTGCTAGGTGCTTACTATCTTATAATGTTATTTTGCTTACTTTCCTCTCGTTATTATCTGATATGCTCTGTACATTCATATGGTTAACGCTAAGAAAGGACACAAGCGTGTCCGAAATATCCGTTTGAAGTAAATTTTATCTACATATATATATATATACTGTCTCTTATACACATCTAGATGTGTATAAGAGACAGGTACCATGCCGGGATTCGATGTTCGAAATACGCAGAACTGTGTGTGTGTACCATCCAAGATGGCTGCCATAGATTTAGCCAATCAAATTTCGCTAAGCGTTAGTTGGCGTCCTACACTAGCTGCGTACAGAGCCAAAGATAGAAAAAGTTGCGACATTGAGAATTTAGAAGCCATTTTGTCAAAGTATAACCAAACACGTTCTACATTACAAAACAACAATTTCAAATATCATAGCCTATGACGCCAACTCCTCGGGTTCGTTTGTTTCCTGTAGTTTCTCCACTTAGTAAAATGTTCAAATTTTACTGCAACCACATGAGGGCGAAAGTTCCATCGATTTTAATGCAAATACGCGGAACAGCTCATTCCTCTGCTATTTAAGTTCTTAGATAATATTGTATAATACAGTTAGCGGCCTCCTGTATTGTTTAATTCCATTTAATCTTTTTAGCAATCGAATTTTAAAATGATTTCACTACTTTATATCCAATTTCATATTATAAATACTGTAATAATTTACTATTTTTTAGCAGTTCTTTAATCCTCGCCGATAGACCGAGAGCCCTTCGATGGCAAGCATTCTTCAATTAGGCAATCCTGCCATATAGACCCTTAAGTAGCTCCTGTTATTTTTGCAAATAAATGATATGCAAGACCAGTAAATTCTAATTAAATATGTATATCAAAATGTAATTAAAATCCGTATATAGGGTATATAGATTGTTGCTCTTTAAATTAGAATATGAGTGAGTCCTATACATATTTTATGTTATTAATTTGATTATTATTATTTAACATGCCACGTACATGCAAGATCTTCTCAGACTACGCTCATCCACTTGTTCCCGAGCACTCAGATCAACTACGAGTTCATCAACTTTGTTTATTCCTGGGTGCCGTTCGAAAAAATATGGTTAGAGATCATTTCGTGTTGCGGCTCCAAAAATGTGGAATGCACTAATTATATATTATAATGAATATGGGCTAAAGAAAATTAAAACATTAAACATTAAAATTCATTGACCCCCAACGGATTTCCATATCTTGCTGTAATATGACCCGTTGCTTTTATACCATTTATGAAAAAAAATATTTTGCTATTTAATTTTAAAAATGGGTTAATTATTTGCATATCGTATAAATACGATGGTCGGTTCGTTCGCTGTTGAGGGTAGCGATTTTTTGTTTGTATAACATTATAATTCATTGACCCCAGTGAAAAGAGTTCCATATATTGCTACTGACTCGATTATTTATAACTTCTCAAAAAAATACTCCTTTAACAAACATTGAGACAATGATTGATGTTTTAGTTTTTAATTTATACTGGATTAATTATTGGCGTGTCGTCTGAATACAATTGTCGGCTCGTTCGTTTTGTTTTGTTTGTCACAAGCATGTAGGTCAAAATTATCCAATCATTGTGTGTGCCTTTAAGTTATATTATCATCTGAAAGAGTAAACCTTTTGCAGAACAGTTTACAGAATATGAATTAGTTAGTTATTCATAGTTTTATGGTGATTTTGGTAATCACACCAGCACCCAACACCGACAAAGCTCAAACGTTACCCTTTTCCGGTGGGCTATGCATCCTTGATACTCTCCTTGTAAATTAACTCGAATTTATCTGTGAAGCGGTAATCAGAGGGTGTA